CGTGTTTGGGCAACACATTATTGCCCCGTGGATCTAGTGACACACCGGCAACAAACAAGAGACGAGCGTCAATAAGAATGCAATATTCCCCTCGGGTGACGTAAGGTGCGTACGTACCCTCCACCAATACCCCACCCACCACCCCCGTAGGACAGTGATAACATAGACGTGCGCGGCGGTAACTTCTCTCTCCGCTATCTCCGTCGGCAGCGGCTTTGGTTTTGTCGCGTAGAAACACGGCGCCCGTCTATAGCTGAATCGAGTTACGAAGCGCGCGCACGCGCATCCCTGCGGCACGGGGCCCTGAACCCACAGCGATGAGTATGCATGAGGAGAGGGAGGAAGCCAAACGATGTGACAGCGAGCGCTTTGCATGCAGGCAGCAGATAAGAACGCGCTATTGTAGACGACAGCGATGCATCGAAATATACATTATTTAACGAGGAAAACTCGGCCTCACCACCACCCGCAACGCGCGCTGCTTGTTGTTTGTAAGTACGCGGGGAGAAATGACACGCGTGTTGTTGACAAAGCCGGCCGAGTGCTCACACTTGTCACACTTGTATGCACGCGATCGTGAAGTGCACGCGCGCGGGCAACACGCGCGGCACCGCGCAGCTGTGCATGCATCCTTCTTGCTCCTGCCACGCAGGGTATGAAGGAAAGGCAGACAGCGTTAGCGTGGCATTGCCGAGAGAAGCCCTTCTGCACACCAGCTGAGACGACAGCCAATCGGTGGCCGCGGTGCAACGACACTCGACGGAGGCCCGCCGCCCGCAATCCGATATTAAACACTCATAAACTACGCACGGCCGCGCACACATACACACGCGCGCGCACACGGTGACGAATGTTAATGATCCACGGCAAGCTAATATCCAGCCGCCGCCGCTGCGAACACAGCTGCCGATTGCTCCGTGTACGGCTAAACGGGGGATTATAATACGCGTTGTGTCTACACACCGCACGCGAAACTATGCTCGCGCAAGGTGTACATTACCTCACTCTGTCGCCCCCCACCACAGAGACCAACACACCAACACACACGTAACACCCTCGGTATCGACATCGGCGATTATTTATCTACCTTATTTATTTTGTTTATTTATTTATCGAACAGTTGTACGCTATTTCACGTTTGGTCCGTCTTTTTTTTTTACAAAGCGTTGATTGATGCCAAGGTGGCCGTTAGCAATTAAACGCTCGTTTCAAGCGGCAGTAAATCGGTACGTTTTAAAAACGTGTGGAAAACTGTGCGGTTAAACAAAGCGGGCGATGTGACATTCTGATTCGATGCTAGCGGGATTCGAATAATCACTCGCGATGCTCCGATGGTGGGGTGTTGAGTGGAGGTGACAGGGGGAGATGGGGAGAGGGGGAAAAGGGGAGAGGGGTCGATGGGCAGAAGGGGAGAGGGGGAGAAGGAGAGAGGAGGAGAGAGGAAAGAAGGGAGAGGGAGAGGGGGAGAAGGGGAGAGAAGGCGAGGGGGAGAAGGGGAGAGGAGGCGAGGGTGAGAAGGGGAGGAGAAAAAGGGGAGAACGGGAGAGGGGGAGAAGTGATCAATTCCGTTACATGCAGCCAGGATCCACGCTACGGCCCGGCTTCACTAATGAAGCGATATATAGACGGGACGAACGTTACATCGAACCTCGTCATCGGATAGCTCCACATTTTTTTCTGCACACACCGCGTTCGGATGCGACCTGATTAAAAATGCCACGCGGCGATTGCGTTACCCAATTATGAGTGCGCGGAGAATTAGGTGATATTTGTCTATAATTGAATAGTTGCTACGCGTGAAATGTCAGACTTTGACTAATCATCGGCATGCACTCACCGTGGCCGCTTTTTGTTTACAATGCTTCGGCTCATCTTGCTACCCCCCCCCCCAATCATCGGCATGCACTCACCGTGACGGCTTTTTGTTTACAATTCTTCGGCTCATCTTGCTACCCCCACCCCCCACTTTGATTAGGCCTTAATTTTTACCCTCGTTGTGACTGAGCCACACCTTTCCCCCTCTTCTTCTATCATTCATTCATGTTCATACCATCCATCACTCCGTGCCATGCTATTATGTCGAATTCTATGTCACGTTATATGATCACATCACTACAGTCCCTGCTTAGATGTAGTCCACCCATCAAATTTCTCTCCCTCTTATCATTAAGCTATTGTTCCCCCTACCACAGCATCATCGCCCAGTGCTGCCCGATCAACGTAAAATTGTTTTTCATCTTTGAATTCGAATTTTGAATTTACAGCAGATATGCAACAGCATCCCTGTCTAACTGTCACCATCTATCAAAGCAGCCTGCATTCTGTAAGACTAGCAACACTAGAGACTGTATATATACGTAGTCAGTAGGTTTTGCAATTTTCCGTGCTGTGCGTACCTCGCGCACTGTCATCCGCACCGTCAAATAACCAGCGTTCGCCACGCTGAAACTGATCTAGAATGATGTGGACATATTATTTCAAACAGAGGAAGACGAATGGCGACCGAGGAAATGAACACCGTCATTTATTATGTTAAAGTTATTTACACTAGCGATCGTCCATCATTATATACACCACAGCCTGAAGCACACTCACGGTCGTCCGCGGCATGAAGCACTCATGTATGCAGAGATCTACTCGCTTGATTACTCAATATTAGAATATTATGCACATAAATATATATTATTATCATTATTACAACGTATAGTGTTACGAAGTTTACTCCTTGAAATGTTGCACGAACGTGCTTATTACTGCTTACACGCAATGCACTTATTTAGTTTACGAAATTGAAACAACAATTTCGCTCATTAATAACATGCTCACGTAGCATTCGATCCAGACTGATCACACGGCTTCCCAGTTTTGAATTTTAATTTCAACAAAAAACGAAGGTTTGCGAGCAAAAGAAGAATTTCCTAAATAGCTGTCCCGCCTCAACGCTCAGACGTTGATTATTTACAAGCACGCGCGAGACTACGGACTAGCTCGCATAAATCACAGCAGTATCTTGTACTTCTCAGCTCTCGGCACACGATTAATCACCACACGACCGTCGTAGCTGAGGGACGCGAATAGCCAGGGGTCAGCCGTAGACCACTCCGCCGCGTAGACACTATCCTCGTGCTCCTCGTACGACGCGAGCACGCCATTTGTCTGCGGCGCCCTCTTTTGTCTAAAAGTATACAAGCCAGAGCAACATCGTCATCGTTGTCATTATCATTGCATGTATTCACCTTCAAGTGAAGCGGTTCCGCGATTGAAAGAACCAAATCTTCTACCGTGCGCATGATGAAGGTAGGGAATGCACGCGCTCAGCTAAATGTCTCCATCTATCGTCATCGTGATCGTAATTGTCATCATCTCAGGTCTTCTATTTCAAGAGACGCATTTTGACGATCGAAAGAAATGAATCTTATAACATATGATGAAAATCTAAGGAATGTACATATTCAGGTTAATGTTCAGCGTGATTATAATACAAAATGATTGCAGTGATGTTTATAATTTTTAAACGTCTATGGGTGAGAGCACAAATGTGAATTGATAACCTCTGCTGCTTACACATGCATGCGTGGGTTTGCACACACCAACACTTCATAGAAAGTAGCCTTTCACATGCATGATTGGTGCTGAGCCACAGAGCAGTAACAGGCAGTTGAGGCAAGTCAGCATTAGTCATTAGTTAAGAGTGAGCAAACACTGCCTTAGTCCTCGCTTTCGCCGTCACACATCACACTGCTAATGTACACAGACCAGCACAAATTTGCCAGCCAATTTAGCAGAGTGTGATTTGGCTTTCAGGCCATGCGTTGTCAACTGGCCCTCGTAAGCAGGGGAACCTACTAGAAAGATCAATTGGCAGGGAGAGGTCAATTTTGTTACCGTCCACTACATTGACATGTGGGCAAACTTGCAACTGAAACATTGAGACCCCTCTATGCAATATTGGACACATCATCCATTTTGTACCATTCTAGTTCAGTGCCAGTAATGGTATTTTGGCATTCGGTTTCAACAACAGTGCTTAACAAGTCTGATCACACAAAGAAAAAAAGCCTCCTCTTAATATTTCTATTAATTACCAATAGATTTTAATTAGGGCACTGTCTAAAAAACTCGTTTTATGATCCACCTTGGCAAATTTCTTTTTAATAAAACATGTTAACGAGCAGATGCTAACATGACTCCAGATGAATCTCTGTGCAATAGCATTGAACAAACCACAGTGGATTATTATGTTTTTCTGTAGATATCACGCATATTACTAAAAGACTCAATTGCACATACATGCAGCCACATAACGAACTTTTTGTTATAATTTGAAATTGTGACACTGCAACTTTATATAGTTTCATGCTGTAGTTTTCGACATACCCATCCCTGCTACTATCATCCTGGTCGTCATCGTCGCTTTCCTCTCCTTCCACCAGGTGGCCAAGCGGCTCAGATGATATCGACGCAACACTTGTCAGGATGACTCGAGAGTCGCTGCTAGAGGTTAGCACAAGCTGGTCGTGAAAGTGGTTGAATCTGACGCTCCACACCCTGAGTATAGATAGATATAACCTAGTCAAGCAATTTAATCTTACATAATAAATACCCTTATGTTATTAATATTGTGCTCACAACTATTTTCACCATATATTTCCAGATGGCATAAATGCGAATAAAGATATGTTTCCTTCTAAAAGAAATAAAACCATTATGAAGGTGGAACAGACAAGTTGCATTTAAGAACAAAGACATGTAATATGTTACTAGCAACATAATATACTATATGAACACAACAATAACGTACACAATAGTAATACAACACTAGCATGATGTAGTACAGTTTGAGAGTATACACTATAAACTCTGTTACCAGTGGGAATGATCAGACAAAACCAGCAATGGTTCATCAGTCTTTCTCGTGTCCCAGAACTTGGTCTTGCAGTCGTCACCGCAACTGGCCAGGTAATACTGCTTGTTTGGATTGAAGTCCAGGTTTCGAACGCACTGCATATGAGCCACGTCTATGTTTGACACCTGCCTGCAGAACGTTTGTGCCAGAGTTAACAGACGAAAATTACTGGTTAGATACATGCGCCAAGAAATTGGATTGTGCTGCCATCTAGTGGTAAGGCAAGATAACAGTTATGTTACTATTTCAAATATATTATTCTACTTACATAATATTACCTGGCTACATGATATCAAGTAGAAAAGTAATAATGCACAAAAAGTAGCCAATGATATGAGTATTACCAGCACTCGCCAGCAGGGCTGGTCAGCCACGACATGCTACTAGCGGCTAGCCCTTACAGGTTTCTACTACCATCGAACGAGCGAGTGAGCGTTAGTTTCGAGCCCCGAGAACGAGACAAGACACTTACTCCATACTTCTAAGGTCCCACAGACGAATAGACGTGTCATTGGCTGTAGCTATCTGCGTTGCATTACTGTGTGGATTCCACCTACCAGCAGTGAACTTTGGTTGACCCTTAGCCTCAAGGGAAGCCACACCCGTCATCTGTAAACAAGAACGAGGATCCTTAATTCAGACCAATTTCCATCTCAATGTAAAGTCATATCGAATTCCAGTGATTAAATATACTGTGTCGCTTAATTCAATCCAAAATTTTTCGCTCTAATTGATGGATCAAAATCAAAATTCAGGAAGAGGCAAACATAAAGCTAACTTACTACCATAGAAAAATAACCTACCAAATTTACATAATGTAAAGCAACTTAAAGTAATATAACACAACGTGACACGACACGACGTGACATAACATGAAGTTATCCATTACCGGTGCGAGATGTACTGACCGTGGCTTGCGTGCCCGACGCATTCAGATCCCACGTGAGAAATCGACCCTCTCCCATCGTGATTACTTTGTCTCCTTCCCCATTAGGTTGCCAAAGCACACTGCACGGATAAAGACGCATATATTTGATATTAACATCACTACATCCACACAGGCCTTCTAGACGTTCATTTAGGAAAGAAGAGGATTAAAGCCTATAGGGAACCCACAAATAATGTGTGTATTAAACCATTGATGTGTAGTGTTGTTATTTTTTAAATTAAATTTTCAACAATTATTGCTGCGTTGAAGCAGACATGAGATTTCACTGAGTTCTTTATTAACAAATATTTATTGTCTGTTTACTGTTGAAATTACTAGAATACATCGAACCAAGATGGTACTGTGTACATAAAGCTATTGTGTTACCCACGTACCAAAATATATCTATACAAGATATACCATATAAATGTTCATAATGTCCATGCTCATACCTAAACATATTTGAATAGCTATCGTGCTCCAGTCTACAGAGCAGTTGTAGGGAGTGTGAACTAGAGGAAGTGTCATCAAGGCCCACATCAAACTCTGCCGGGATCCTCCAGAGGGCAGCAGCCATCTCACACTTTGTGTCCGATACTACACGACAGTGACACATGTGATACTACAATATATTATTATGTCATACATATAAGATTATCCACAGTTGCAAACCTACAACGCTGGACACCTACATGCCATGACTGGAGTGAACATCTACCATCAGAATACAAAATCGACACTCGACATACGACTAGAACAGTTCACTCTCCAAAATAAGCAATAGTGTCATGCAGTATGTTCTATTGGGGTTTTGTTCAAATAGGAATTGTGCTAATAAATAGCTCACCATTGTTGAAGCATGTTGCAAGAATGTTTTTGTCAACTGGGGAGGCAGAGATGTGCCATATCTCACCATCCTTGTGAGCAAAGACATTCTTATTGAGAATGTTATTCTCATCATCAAAATCGATCTGGTGAATCTGAAATATAATAAAAATTTAAGTCTATGTGGGATGACATGTGGCTGACAAAGCAACACGTACATCACTGACGAAATGATAACTGGATACCACCAGCTTTCCAAGAACTGTGACATATTGATCTTCAGTCTGTATTTTACTGCATGGTTAAAGGTGTGATTCTTTATTCCCTACATACCTGGTTGTCAAACTTTAGTGATTGCGTTCCGACAAGAAAGCGAATGTCATCTGTCTCGGCAACTTGTGCAGTCAAAGCTCTCGCCTATATTAATAGGTTCCAACGTGTTACTGTTGTGAATGTCATTGCCAAAGGACTTAAAGCAACAATGCCAGACCATTAGTATTACAATTATTACTTTTTTTTATATAAAACAAGGACAGACTTCAAGCTACGAACTCAGAGGCGGCAGGCTGTCTCCAAGCTTCGCCAAAGCGCGCGGAATTATTAGGTATGTTAAAAAAAAAATTAGGATCAGGGTTAGGTTAGGATTACGGGTTCAGGGTTAAGGCGCCCTTAAACCTGATTTTTATACTCCACAAACCTTGATTCCTATATAGATGCAATCGCGCCATTCTAGCGGAATTCACCTGAATCTCCCGTGGGACCCTAGCGGATCGGACTTGGGGAGACGCGCATGCCCCTCCTATAGAGACATTGGCCAGGACTTCATGGGGTGACACTGCAGCAAGGCCTTCTCACCTGCATTAAACGAACTAAAGTCACGTACTAAGTGTAACAATACTCAACACTAGTATTATAGTGCACGAATAACTTAATTAGGAAAGTTAGCATCGGTTGTAAAATAAACCCCAAAGATTGTGCTGATGTAGTATGAAACATGCATACTTCATAATGCTGCGTGGTTGGATAGAACGACAGGCACTTCGGACCGCCCAGGCCTTTCAGATTTTGAATAAGTACGAGTGAGGACTACTAATGACTCCCCTAGGCGACAACCTATTAGGGGGTGACTTTTTTCACGCTCCCATAACTCACACCTGTGCGTTAAGAGGTGCGTATCTGACTGGCAGTAGCTGCACTAAAACATTGAACACACCCTGTCTAACTAGAGTTACACCATAGCTGCCCATTGGACGAGCGTCCAGCTAATCAAACTCAGCCCTTTAAAAGCGGATGGATGGAGAGCTCCCCTCTTGTATGTGGGTCTCCTCATCCCATGCCTCACTTCGAGGTCTCATGTGATGGGATGTAGGAATTCATGGACCACAATCACCTCTCTCCAGTCTTTGAGAGTGAATCAAGAACGCAGAAATCTGGGGCGATGTCCGTGTTACAGATCTATCTGATTACTCCAGATCATCCTCTACTTCATCATTCACGATGCGCTGTCGTCACCAGACGATATACATTCTTTTCCATCCAGACAACCCCAATACACTAGCACACAGCGATTTAATAGAAAGCAGTGTGATCGCGATGTTAATAAGATAATACTGTGGTTATTTAGTTTCCGATTTCCAGTCCTTAGACGATTCTAATCCAGACCTGCTCAACCCATGCTATATCTACTCACGCACAAAAATCATCATCACAATCCCATCCAACAAAAGCTAGCCCATATAATTCAGTGGTTACGTGAGTAGGTCCACGGGCTTACTGTAGGCGCGCCTCCAGTCTCGTTTTCAAGCGGCGGACCTGTCTTTCAGCGTCCTGGCTAGAACAACCCCACTTCCTCGCCACGGTCTATCTCATTAGAATTACCGAGCACGGTATCTGTGACTACCCCCGTATACTCGCAGGTAGCCTGTATTTGGATTCGCTGTTGTTTAGTTGTATTACTACCTAGATCATATAAATTAACGTGAGGTAGTAACCAGACCTCTGTACTTCATCGCCCATTACGTTCAGTCCTTACGACACCACAATTTGTTTGTGTTGTTGCTAACCTTTTTGTATCCCCCTACCTTACTTTCGAGAACCTCTATGGCGAGTGCTATTTCAAAAGACATAACAAATTAATTACCGAATTTTTTAAAAATGCTTTTTTTTTTATTGGTTATTTGCGTGCGCGCGATTTCAGTACCACTTTTTATGATGGCTCGCGCATGCCATGCCGCGCCGACCCCACTGGCCACATTTCCAGGTGCGCCCACGCGTTGGCTCGGTGGAGCGCCAACACGAGCGCGGCGATCGCGCCCTTACAAACATGAAAGCCTGGCGGCACGTAATCAAAATACAAAGTGATGGATTAATCGAAATCACAACTTGTCAGTACTACTAGTAATCTACTAGCCGCTACCACTTACCAGTACCAGTACCGAGGGCAATAGATCTTAATGTTTGGTTGTACCTCAATAAACTTCACTTCTCAACACCGTGCCAATACACGCTGAAACATCAGCCCGCCCACAATAGCCAACACATTCTAGCAACGCCATCAGTAGTTCGCGTTCTAGTACTGACAAGATTGCTATCTTATTAACCATCATTTTATTATTGATACGGTCCAAGTGCCTGTGGTGTAGAACTGACAAACGTTACGTACACGTATCATCACGACATCAATCAATGAATCATCATGTAATGATGTACAGATACAGTGAATCAGAGAGAACCTTACCAGGAATTTACTTTTCCATACACTAACATGTAATCAAACGATGTGCGGTTCGGTTCAAATAAACTTTACTGGATAAATTTGTGCCTATGCGTAACAAAGTCCTCACCTGGAACTCAAGACCATAAATCACGGGTGCATCGTCCTCCATGATGTTATTATGCAGGTGTCGTAAAGATTTCTCGTTGTGGAAGAGTTGTACTAGCATTAAAATGCGTGTTGATTACCAAAGAAAAGATACTTATATTGTATCTTTCCTAGCCCACGATATTTTTAAAACTTGCTGTTATAATTCTTTAAAAACAAATCCAAGATTTTAAAAGCATAGACGAAATAAAAATTAAACACTCCCTGATTAAAGCCACCCACAGCCACAGTAGACTGGTACCCGTTCGCCACCTTCACTCCGGCAAGCGTGTATCCCACTGATCAGAGATTATATTATAGAGATCAGTGGTGTATCCTTCGCTACACTGACGCGCTGTGGTGTAGGGTGTGGAACTGTCGACCAGGTACCAGTCTACAGCCACAGCCACAGCGGTCGCATTGAACACTGGGATACGTAGTGTCATGGTGGCAAAAGATAAACTTTGTGGGAATTCATCGTAAGTATTAGTGATTTACTACTAATCGACCGTGAACTAGTAACATGTAATGTGATGTGATGTAGATTAATAGGTGATAATACGATTACATCGAACATACAGGCCTCCTTAATAGTTCAGTGACGTAGTTTCATTGACATTGTCATTGTTTATCAAATATATTTGCGATTATCTACGGTCCAGTTCAGCCCGACCACTGCCGCATGAAGGGTCGTTGTCGTATAGGGTACTACATATATGTACCCGAGGTAACTATCTGATATGGTTAGGGTTAGGGAGTAGGCGTAGGCGACTCCCTAGACTAGCACTATATTAGTACCCTATACGACAACGACCCCTTCAGCACCACAGCCTGGCTCGCGACAATGTCACAATGATGCTGCAATCACTGTGATCACTCATTGATAACTTTACATGGCAAAAAATAAATAAACAACCAAACTGCCATCTGACTGGGACACAGTAAACCGGAAACGACATGAGTTAAGTAGGTAACTCAGAATGCTAGGCATACAATGGCTGAATGGTGCCATGTCAAATCTACAATCAGTCAATGTCCGATTTAGGTATAGCTGTTGTACCCAAACTTGGAATCTGCACAATCTCGAGATTGTGCAGCGATTGTGCTGCCCAAACTGCGGATTCCCTAGTTTGGCTGACCAATCTCAAGATTGGGCAAACTGAAAACAGTTGGTGATTCAACAACCGCTCATAGCGAGTGTGTGGTGTGCGTGGTGCAAACTAGGAAGAGATTTATCTCATATTAAATCTTATCCAATTATTTATTATAATCATTTAATATTTATACAAAGGTGCCAAACACATTGAGGAAAGAAGGTATACGACCTTATGGTTATGATATAACATTTGAAATCCTAATAATCATATGTTTGTGCAAGCTCTGTTTACCTCTGTTTGCCCAATCTCAAGATTGGTTGCCCAAACTGCGGATGCGCTGAAATTCTAAGTTTGTGCAAGATTCCAAGTTTGGGCACAACATAGCCAAGCGGGGCACAAATGGTGGCTTTGGGTTGTTCTTATTCCATCCGTCTCATGTGATTTAAAAAAGCCTTAGGCTAAAACAAAATATAGGTGTGGTTACGGTTTCCCGACCGACCCTATTTATTCCCAGCGACCCTAAACATTTTATTGTCAATTTTCATTAAAGTAAAAAAAAATAAAAAAATAAAAATAAAAAAATAAAAATAA